TCCCGGAGAGGCAAACTTATAGTATCCGTTTTCCTTGTGATGTCCCACTATACGATACTATGTGACGATGAGAAAATTCACTTCTCAGGTTGAGAAGATCGGAACACGACGTGGAGATATCTACGTGCTAATCACACGTAGAACCTTAACTCATGGCCGCGAGGAAGGGACGTCGTCGGTCGGTTGTGGCCGTTCACGAGCTGTCGCATCAAGTAATACATTCATACATACATTGTGCCTTGTAACCGACGTACTTAGATCTTGACTTTGTCAGCACTTACGAAAACATAGCATAACCATTTATGAAGATTCAGCGTAGTTTCTTGTATTAAACTTCTTTTAATATTTTATTAATATTTTATATTAATAGTAGTTTATAAATATTTTATTAATTAAACTATTTTTAAGAGCTTATAATTAACATCGCAGTAGACATACAGGTTTCTTAGTCTCTCCTTACAATTTAGCATTGAAAATGGAAGATTGTAATAGGCATACTCAGTTCGTACTCAGAGTTTGACAGATGAGCTTCAGTGCTACATACTGGCAACACTCTAAAACCAATCATATTGTCCTGAGAGTCAATAAACATAGTGTAAATTGTTCTTGTTAGCATTATGATTTCTTTTATAATCACGTATTTTGTATTGCGTTCATGTTACCGGACGTTCTGTTAACAACATTTATTTTACATTGAGATTAATTAAAAGGATGAAAAGTAAAAATTAATGCATTAAAATTATGTTACACTTGGTTCTTTTTAATACCAGGATTGGAAAATATGAGTCTCTTTTCAATTTCAGTAAATTTAATCAACAATTTGGAAAAATATACTTTTGAATTAAACGTTGATTTTTGTGTGAGATACGTTTATGATTAAGTTTCTTAATTGTGTTTCCTTTGGTATTTTGTTATTGTTTCTTAGTAAATGATTCATATTTTTAATAAATTCCTAATTTAGTTCCATGTTTTGGGAGCATGGGAATATTATGCGAGAAGCATCTAGAAAAGCGGGAAAGATTCACGAAATAGACTGTGAAGTATAGTCACTCACACTTTAGAGCGGTCCAGTAAAGTGATTCGCGACGAGAGCGTTGATGAAATTATCGTTGACGTTCAAGTCGCTCTATTTTGTGGATTTTGTTTTGTCTAACATATATTAAAAAGGATTGTTCGTAAACAAAATGCACTACAAAAGTTAAACTCCCTAAAGTAGAGATATAAAGGTTTTTTGTGTCACAAAAGGGAAAATTCCGAGTATTATTGTTGGAATTTTCCCTTTCTTCAGGGATGGTAAATGCTGGGAATTCAACTTCTGTCCTTACGAGCGTTCAATTCCCTGGTGGAAATTTCTGAAGAACATAAATGTCAGTTTTAAAGGGCTTGTTATGGATTTGAAAGGTCTCTTAAACCAGAATTTGCCACCAATTTTTCACACTTTACAGTAGTAAATATATATTTTGATCAGTTGTAAATTTGCTATGCTCTGGATTGTGTGAAATATCATTCAAATGAATTACACCAACTGTGGATGACTGAGCTCTGTGCTTGTTTAATATTCATATTGTCCGCTAAACTAGATAAATAAAGTTTCCATTAAATATAAACTTTTTAATGACCTTCAATTTGTCAGAACATATGTATACTTACTATTTCCTTTGGTTCTGGTCATTATTATTGATGAAAAAGTTTATCGCAACTAAATAGGGTTACGACATTCCTCGTTTAATTTTTACAAACAATGCGTTATCCTGGTTTCAAAGGAAATGAGAGTAATGGATGCTGGTTTCTATTTTGCGAATTCATTCAATAAAATACATTTTATTGTATAACAAGTTTATGTAGAAAATATGTATTTTATTCACATATATTAGATTTGGTATGAAAATATTTTCTCAACATTGATGAAAATGTTTTTCTATATCTCTTACATTGATAACAATGAAACCAAAAACACTTAAAATATGTTATTATACGTTTTCAAATTTCAGATGTAGATTAGTCACTGATAATTCATTTGATTGAAAATATTAAAATAGTCTTGTTATTGTTTGACAGCAAAAAATAATAATCATAGAGCTGGCTGCTTTGGGCAATACATCCTGTGATCTGTTTCAGGTAGTACTAATGATTTTAAAATGTAATATTCAAGCTTACCATGGTCAAATTTGCTCATCGTGGAATAATTGCACGATTTGATACGACGTATTTGACGTTTTCAATTGTTTTAAATACTGAATTCACAAAACAAACGTTTCAATACAGATATCCGATTGAATCATGTGCTTTTAGTAACATTTTTAGTCTGTGAAAGCGTGAAAAGTTTGATTAACATACCAGATCAGTGTTTACACTATAAATAAATAAATAAGAGCAGTGTAGTCCCGTGAACTGAGTACAAGTATTTTGAATGATAACAAATGCGATTTGCGTATTGGAATTGAGTTTTTTGTAATTAGTTTTTTTCACACTGAAAATATTAGCTTTATTAATTTATTGAGAACTTTTGCTTTCAAGTATGTTGTACCAACAAATTGTATTGTTTTTTTACCTTCTTTGTATTTACGTAGTAAGTGATTGGCGATTTTTCGATACAAAAATGGGTAATCAAGAAAGTTGATAAATCTTGTTCAAATATGTAGAAAATTTCTTCCTCTAAACCGCTGTGTAGTCAGAATTCACCATTTGTAAGTTATTGATTCAGAAACGTCAAAACCACCTTCTTCTCGTCTGTGGATACCTCTAGCACCTAAATCTTCACACGATTTTCTCCAAAATTGATCTTCCGACGTTGTTCTGGCCGAACTCGAGACCTGTCAGTTTTAAACGGATTTTTTGATTTTGAGGGATACTTTCATAAAGCCTCAGCATTTTAAAAATTTTCTCAGATGTCTCAGATTTTTTTATTAAACTTTTCCTCGGATTGAACGTTTTAATTTTCAAAAATCCTTTAAAATTGTATATGCCTTTCGTTAAAATATCTGATTTTTTTTTTCAATTTTGCAAAACTTAACTGATCTTGAAATAAATTCATGTAAACTTTTCGAAAATTGAGGGATTTTTGTGTAATTTTGCGTAAAATATAGACATCCAGAAAAATTAGACACTTAAAAAAATCACATGCTCGTTTCCGGTAAATTCTCGATGATGTTTTAAAATTGTGCTAGCTAAGATTGCAAAAGCGCAGAAAACTTTTTTTTCTGTAAAATGTGTTCTAAAATAACAAATATTAAAATCATGTTGTGTATAATGTTTTGAAAAACTAATATTTTCCGTGTAATTTTTGTTTGAAAACAATGTATATTTTTCTCAAGAAACGGTCCATTTTTTTTATTTCTCCCCTCGGTTACAGCAAGCGATGCTTGAAAAATGGAGCTCGTACCATTTTCGACGAACTTGGTTGTCAAAAATAGCAAACTAAAAATTAACATTTTAAAGTTATAAAATTGATCATAGACCTTTTTTCGTAATCAAATATATTCTTTAAATGCTATAAATAGAAAAATTCTAAAATTTTGAAAACTGCAAACTGCAACTGTTTTACATTTTTAAAGCATCTAGAAGGTTAAGTTGAGCTCTGTGGCTGATCGAGTATGATAACGTGACTGGCTGGCTTAGAAGAGGATTTGGAATCCTATCGCAGAGAAAAAATGCTGTTGGAAAACACTGTTACATGTTCATATTCTATTAGAAAATTGTATAGCAATTACAAATAATGAGAAAATTTGTGCTGCAATAACAACACTAGTTCCTACTATTGTCGTTATCAGTGAAGTATATTACCCAAGGTTTAAATATGTGTAGCTGGTAGTACTCAAATGTATTCGTGTATAGTTAATATTAGATAATGGAGTAACAAATGTCCATGAAATTACAATCGACCTGAATGTTGATTGAACATTTATTACCGTAATTTCCATAATTGTGCTATCAACGGGATGATTGTCTTCGCGGTGTATATTTTACGTTGCTATAAAATGTCTTTAACGTTTCGCTCCCAGATGCCAGGCAAGCAGAGAAGACGCTTGTCGGTGATGATGCAAAGGTGCTGGTCTCTCATTAGTGGCTCACCTTGAACGTGCGGATGCGCAGAAGCTTCTGATTGCAATGACTACAGATATCTTGGTACCTCACTTTGAGGGTCAACCTCTTAGAATTAATTCAGCCTGTATACGCTCTCCTCAAAATATATCCATTCACAACTTAATAAAATTATTGACCGATTAAAGCATACATATTTGAATTGTAATAGTAGATAGACCTTAAAATATTTTTTCGTGAGACAAGAACAGACACACGCTGAGATACATTTTTATTCAAATGCTTTATTGAACTAGGATGTAATTTATTGTCAAAAGTGTTTTTGCATACCAACAATGTAAAGAAAATTTTCATTGGAAAAAATTATAAAATGGCATTTAATGGCACATGTTATGAATAATTAGCCGTTTAAAGCACAAATAATTGCGTCATTACACTCCACGGAACTGCAACGAACGACACGTGAGGGGGCAACGATAAATTGTCCAGCCGACTAACGTTTTTTGCACGATGTCAAATGCGCGTGACGTAATACCGACGGCCATGAAGCCAATTACGATACCTTACGTATGAAATTTGTTTACTAAATGAACTTTTCTTTTATACATTTATTGTGCTGCTATACCCAAAATGGCGTATGCAATTGTTTATAATGTTACTCTATTGCATTAATGCAAATTTGAAAATTCGCTCCCAACGTTGCTCGCTTCCAAAACGAATACTTGTGCAATAAAGTTTAACATTATAAAAAAATGGCGAAAAATAATATTTTGAAGTCTAGAAAAACTTTTACTGTCGAGTTTTTTCTATAATTCCTGCTTAGTATTTATTTTTCTTCGCATGCAAGTGAGGCTTCTTGACTTTGGCGTATCCCTGATTTTGATGACTGAAGACGCAGATTTCAGTCTTATTCGATCGTGCAACCCACCACCATTCTGACTGTTGTCTTCTGTTGCAGCGGAAGCAACTTCGAGGGCCAGTGGCAGAACGGCAAACGACACGGGTTGGGCGTTGAAACTCGTGGTCGCTGGGTGTACAGAGGCGAGTGGACGCAAGGGTTTAAGGGCCGCTACGGTGTGAGACAATCTGCCACGTCCAACGCCCGCTATGAAGGCACCTGGGCCAACGGACTGCAAGATGGATACGGCTCGGAGACCTACGCCGACGGGGGTGAGTTATCTCAGTCAATTGTCTTTTGATTGATTTCATAATAATGCAAGGGGCGTCGAAAATCAGATAAGGTTTACATTGAAAATATGTTAATATTTAATAAGCGTTTAATAAGCATATTTCATATTGGTAAGACAGATGATGAAAACTTCCTGCATAGATCAAACGGTAGAGCTGCCGCATAAATACGTCTGTTAGAGTGAAAAATATTTTCAGAAAAAATGTAAAAAGAATGTGGTATTATTAATATGACTTTAATATTTTGAAAGTTTTACGCATGGAAAATTTATTTTATTCTGTGATGATTGTTCACACTGTAATTTCGTTTCCCAGACACATCGTTCCCAGAGAAGGTAGATTTCTCGGAATTTAATTTTGAATTGATATCTATGTCATGGTCATTTAATAATTTGAAATATTATTTTTTTTGTTATTAATTGCACTAAATGATTAAATAACATTAAGTAAAGTAATACTTGACGTGTTTTTACAATGGTACTTTACATTTTGTTCGTAAAGATAAAATCATTCACTATACTTCGCTACAAGAATTAAGAAACGATATGTGAACCTAGTAAGCACAGAATGCTTAAATTCGACATTTTCTTAGTGACAGCTTTTAGAAGCCCTCCCAACGCGTGGATCAGAATGCCAACTGAGGGACACGAGAGAAATATGACTAAGTAGTGGACGATGACGCGAGATGGGAATGAGAGGAAACGATTATCGAAAAAGAGATGGGTACCCCGGGTGGGTCGTATTACTAAGAAAGAAGTGCTAACAAGCAGACGGCATCCCCTATCAGAATCGTCTTCAAATCTTTTCCATGACCACTTTGAATATTATTTATTTGTTAATCTACCATTTTGAAAATAATTAACTAATTTACCTTAATACCTTAAAATACGTTTCAGCCACCTTGCCACAAAGGTATTAGTTACATTTTATTTTTTACTGATACGTTATTGTTTGTTATTGCCTTCGATCCGTAGTTCGATGTGCACTTTGTAACTTACCGAGATCGAGAGAATCGTTACTAAGTGGGAAATATGCTAAAGTGGAATAACGCTTAATGTTCTTTTTTGGAGGGAATTATGGAAGGAAATTATCAGATGAAAATATGAAAAGACAAAGTGAGTCAAGTTAATAACTAGTTAATTAGCAAATGAGTAAATATGAATCAATAAAATTTAGTAAAAAATAAAATCATGTATGTGCCACGGGCGTAAATCGATTCTAATGATGTGGGTCGACAACACTGCTTGTCGCACTTCCATCACTAGTACCCTTACAATGCCCTTGGAGCATAAATAGCTATTAAAAAATTGAATAACGAAATCGAATCGAAAAGATTGTATAACGATTGACCAGGCAGTGATAAATTTAGAGTGAAAAAAGGGATCCGGGTGGCGCTGTGGGGTATGCGAGGCGGAAGGCGTGCCGGTTGCTCTGCGAGCGCCGTGCGCAGCGGCTGAGCGGCGCTGGGGCGAGTGCAGCGCGGTGCCAGGGGCTCGGCGAGTCCGCCGCCGGCGCAGCGCCGGCCGGGCTGCGCAGGCCGCGCTGCGGAGATTGGGGGCAATTGGTAGTTGGGCGCGGGACGCGGCCGGGGCGCGGCGCGGGCGCGGCGCGGGCGCGGCGCGGGCGCGGGCGCGCGCGCGGCGCGGGCGCGGGCGCGGGCGCGGGCGCGGGCGCCGGGCGCGGCGCGGGGCGGCCGGCGCGGCGCGGGCGCGGGGCGCCCGGGGCGGGCGCGGGCGCGGGCGCTGGGTGAGCCGGGCGGGCGCGGCGAGGGCGGGCGGGATCGGCGCCTGGAACGCATAAAGGTTCGAGCGAGGCGGCGGAGGAGGTTGAGTTTGGAAGAGCATGAAGGAGGAGGTGGCGACGGCAACGTGGCCACCTCTTTCACCTGAGCCACGCGCCCGGTCGCCGCTCTGGGACCTCCTCAATCTGCTCTCGTCTTCCCAGCCGCCTGCCCGCGGCCACGCAGGGTGGCGGCGCGGCGGGGGCATTGACCGCGAAGGAACACGGTCTCTAAGTGTTTTGGAAATTGAATTTGTGATCGATTTCATTTAATGAATCTAATTTTAATAAGGCGGTCCATTCGTTTCTTAATTAAAACGCTGCATTAAATTCAACGGATTGTAAAATTATATTAATGGACACATATTTCCAAGCAAGGTAGTAAGTGACTTGGCAATGTCAACAACTAGAGCTCTGATCAATGCTGAAATAACAATTCAATAGAACATACTATTAGAAGCTGATAACTTATCGAATGGTTTATATTAAAATATGGAGAGGTGAAACATGCCGATGATATGTAATGCTTTAAATTCGGTGCAGTTAAGAACACTTCCAACCTTAATTTAATCTAAATGTCTATACAGATACTTTAAAAAAATGATTTTATCTTGTTTTATCGGGTACTAGAACAACGTTCCTCATTTTGTCTCTCACACTCAACGTACTTATACATAAGTACACACACACACACACACACACACATATATATATATATATATATATATATATATATATATATATATATATATATACGTGGCACTTCCTCATCTTTGCAGCTGTTCGATGCTATTGGCAATGTTTATGTTACAAATATACTTGTGAATATTTCCTTTATATACTACATTTATTCCGTTGTATTCGCTTACCGTAGGCTATGAATGAAGCAGGAAAGAGAATGAAAACGAGGGACGTGTCTTTCGAACATGGTCGAACTCAGCGTAATTGCGATGGGTGATCAAATAAAGTATGTGGTTACATTTGAATTCCATATTATCGAGCTAGACATAAGCATCTCTCCGCTGAGTATTCGAATCTCCCTCTGCGTGCCTAGCGTGGGATTGTGGGTCGCGCAGAGGAGCAAGGATTCTGGAGGTCGGATTGCCTCCGTCGGCAGCGTTTGGTTCACGTGCGGCGGCGCACGCGGCTGCGTTTGCGGCGACGGCGTCGGTGGCTGGCGCACGTGCGCTGGTCCTCCGAAGGCAGCTCCAGCGGAGGCTGCGCGCCCGGCCTCCCCCGCCGGCGCCGCGTGGGCCGCGCCGGCCCGCGCCCTCGCCTATCGATTGGCCGGCGCCGCCGCCGCCGCCAGCCGGGTGTCAACTGCAGCCCGCACCGCACCGTTGCTGTCGCGCTCGGCGCGTCTTTAAAGCGGAGCGCCCAATCGCGGCGCCATGCGGCCTCGTTGCTGCCGCCCCGCCCCCCAGCCCCGAGGGTCGTTACCAGGCCCTTCGACGCTTGCCTGTTTTCAGCGTTGCCATTATTGCCCTTGACATTGCCGTCGTTACAGTTGTCATCGACGTCTTTGCCACTGTTCACTTTGTCACTGTTTTTGTCGTCTTCACCTACGTCATTGCTGTTCCTGCTGCCGTTATCATTGCCACCAAAGTCGCTTACGCCGATGTCTCTGGAGTCGCTTTTGCGGTCAACATGGGCGACAGTGTTCTCGGCGACGGGGACATCGTTGTTAGTCATTATCATTGTTGTCATTGTCGACGTTGTCTTCGTAGTCGGTTAGACGACGTCGTTGTTGTCGATGGTGTCAGTGTCGTTGAGGTCGCATCCCCTCTTAGGATCTGCCCCTAGCTTATTGTTCTTCACCCTTCAATCTTTGGTCTCTATTTATCTTTTCTTCGACAACGAAGCAATGCTCACGGAACGCCGCGGCAATCATCGTCGTCAACGTCAGTCAGCGCCGTGTGCCTTACTCGTCGTTGTCGGACTCCTGGCCCATCTAATGGTCCTTAACAATCTTCTCGATACATCTTACTCAGATTCTGGTATCTTCATCTTCGCTAAGTGTTGTTGTAATCTCTTTTCGCCCTATCCTATGCCCCCTCAATTAGAACTCCCATTGCTTCCGCTCTAATTCTAGCGACGCCGGTACTTTCCCCCTTTGATTTCGGCGCTTCCGCCTTCACCTTTGCGAGAGTTGGGCGCTTTCCATCCTACGCAAGGGGTTCAGGCACTGGGTCACGACGAGGGGCGGCGGGGATGGGCCGGGGACACCCTCAGCTGCGTCGCGTCCGCTTCCGCCTCTGTAGCGCGCCAAGTGAACGACCTCGTCGTGGGTCGTCCGGTCGTGGGGTCGGTCGTTCGTGCGGTGGGTGGTCGGTCCGGTGGTGGTGATCGGTCGTGGAGGTGACGTCGGGTCGGGTCGGTGGGCTCGGTGGGGTCGGTGGGTCGGTTGGGTCGGTCGGTCGGTTGTGGGTCGGTCCGGTCGTTGGTGGGTCGGTCCTGTCGCTCGCTTCGCTCGCTCGGTCCGGTCTGTCGGTCGATTGAACGCGCGGCGGGCAGCTCGCTCCGCACTCCATCGACCGCGCGCACGCTGCCCTCCATCGCCCTCCGCCCCGCCCTCTATCCCGGCCCTGCCTCTACGCCACCCACCTCTCGTCGCTGGCATGCCATCCCGCCCCTTTTCGTCGGCCTTTGCTTTCGGCTTGCTCAGCCTTGCGTAGAGCGCCTGTCCTCTTAATACGCATAGGTTGGGGGAGACTCAAGAAGAAATTTATTGCGTCCACAGTGGTAGGTTGTTCCCTCGCTCACATTCTGACTCTGAGAGAATAGACTATCTTTTCAAAATATTGGTCGCTCTTGTTGACATCATTTGTGCGAAAAAGGCCTTTCCAAAACTATTTCTCATTTGCCAGATTCTATCTTCGCCGTGCGTAGATACTTAGGGCGCATACTGGCCTTAGGAGACTACAAATGTGAAGTTGTTATGGCATTCGTAAATTATTTTCCTGCGAATCGCAAAGTGTTACTGCATATAAAGATATTACTAACAATCTTGACCGGGGAAGACGAAATGATACAATAGTAGATCAGAAACTAAATTAAACGTTTTGGAGAAATCATTTCATTCTTATTTCGAAGTTAGAAGCAGTCGAAAGTGATAAATTAGAGTTGTCACACGGATTAGCGAACTTTTGTTAGGGCGATGAAAGCAAGCTCGAGTTAAGTAGGAGATTTCTCGGGAGGCGACG